AAATGAGGACCCGGATTGTGTTGGGGGCGATATGCTGACTCTATAAACCGCTTAGAGAGGGCTGAAAGCCCTATGAAGCGGTATATAAGTCTAACTGCTAACTGCTATCATCTATATCTATCATCTATAATCTATATCTATCTATCTATCTATCTATCTTATCTATCTATCTCTATCATCTCTATCTATTTATCATCTATAATCTATCATCTATATCTATCATCTATAATCTACCTCTATCTATATCTATCATTATAATCTATCTCTATATCTCTATCTATTTCTATGTATCATCTATCTATATCTATATGTCATCTATAATATATCTCTATTATATCTATCATCTATATCATTATCATCTATCTATATCATCTATAATCTATATCTATCTCTATCTATCATCTATATCTATCAAAAACCCCAGAACATCCCATGATAAACTGACCATTTGACGTTAAAAAGAAAATACGACACAATTGTTTTTCACACTTACGACCGTTGTAGCATCCCAGTGGTCCCGTCATGAAAATTCAGGCAAGGGACTCATTTTTATGACGGTCGCAGTGCCCTGGGGTCACGTGATCCCCTTTTACCACCACCTGACAAGCAAAGTTAACGGGGAATCCAGTTTCACTTAACAACCGTGTGGCTAACTGAACAACTGCAGTGATTCACTTAACGGTGGTGGCCGGAAAGGTTGTAAAATGAGGCAAAACTCACTGAACAACTGTCTGGCTTAGGAAGAGACATTTTGAGCCCAATGGAGCCCGCCCATAATGTGACCGGCCCAATATGACACCCTTTTTTTTGCCGTGGTCACTAAGGAGAAGCAGCTGTTGTTAAGCGAGCAACATTTCTGCTTGTTGGCTGGGGAATTCTGGGAGTTGAAGTCCACCCATCTCAAAATGGCCGCAGTTGAGCAATTCTGATTTCTCCACGCCTCTCTCTTCCCTTTTGCAGAGACCATGGCCATCCTCGCCAACGTCCTGGATAACGACATCTTTCGGCCGCTTTCCGAGAAGTGTTGTCAGCTTGGATTGGACCTCTGCGACAGAGTAGACGACCCGGACTTGCGACGATGCACGTATGTCCCCGTCACCTGGTGGTGACTTTTCCCTCTCCTCTCAGTTTCTTTTTGAACCCAAGCCTACCGTCTATGGGTGGATTTTCAGGGATGGGAAATTGTCACCATGCTTGAAGGTGCCTTCTGCTGAACAAAACTCTGTATTGGTGACAAGAATGGCATCCGGCCACTCAAAAACACTCTGCTAGATCCATTCATTTGCTCAGGCTCCACCCCGCAAGGAATTCTGGGGTCATTAAAAGAGGCTGACTCTCTTTCTCCTCTCAAATCTGGGTTGTAAGTAGCTTTGTGGGATCTGCTGTAATTTTGAGCGGTCACTAAGCAATTGGTCGTAAGTCGAGGACTACCGGTTTAGAGACTGGCTAGGCGCTATACTATTAAAAAAAAGGCAGGGCTGGAATGAAAACAAACAAAGCACAATTCAATAAACAACTGAAAGTCGTGCCCAATTATACAACCTATTTTTTGTGACGGTTGTTAAGCAAATCATTGCAGTCTTTAAGTGAATCAGACTGTCATTAAGCAAATTAAGGGCCCCCCTTGAGGCTGGAAAGGTTGTAAATGGTGATCAAATGACCCCAGGGCTTTTGTCCGCTGCAGGGTGGGATAAGGTTCTCTGTGTACAGGCAGTCCTCGACTTACGACCACAATCGAGCCCCAAAATTCCATCCCCTGTTAAGTAAAATTTGCCCTATTTTAATTAGAATGTAATTAAATCAATTTAATTTATTTTTATTTAATCACTGCTTAAGCAAGCAACATGGTCGTTAAGTGAATTTGGCTTCCTCAGAAGGTCGCAAAAGGGGATCACACGGCACTCCCCCCCCCTGGAACACTGCAACCGTCATAAATACGAGTCAATCAGAATTTCGTGGAGGGTTGCTGCTTTCAGAAGCGTGAAAAAACAGTCACCTCCCTTTTTAAATTGCCGTCGTAACTTCGAATAGTCACTAAATGAACCGTTGTAAATCGAGGACTACCTGAAATGTGAAATTTGGGGAGGGGGGAACGGAATTGCCAGTTCCCAAAAGGAACTTTTTTTGAACCCGGGATCTCTGCCGCCGTTTAGGTACAGCCTTTTCAGCTCTCTCGCGAACGTCATGGGGGACTCGATCATCCCGTTCCTGCCTCGGATAACGACGCTCCTGATTTATTCCCTCAAATCCACCGAGGGCGTCAAGGTAAGACGGCGAACACCCCCTCCCACCTCCCCCTGGGCAGGGCTGGGGAATTCTGGGAGCTGAAGTCCAAGCCATCTTCTAGTCGCTGACTTTTAGACTCTCGTATCACACTTGAGGTGGAGAGCGCTATCTCCTGGGCCCTGATAAGGTTGCTTAGTCAGGTCCTGAGACGTCCGCGAGAAAACCAGCTCAGAGAGCACCAAGGACCCCACAGTTCTTCCCCTTCTCCCCTCCGCAAACCCTGCTCCCTCATAGCGCTGATATTGTTACCTCGTTGGGTCATGAGATATCTGCGAGAAAATAATGTCAGAGAGCACCAAGGACCCCACAATCCTCTTCCTCCTCCTCCACGCTGCAAACCCTGCTCCCTCGTAGCGCTGATATTGTTACCGAGTTGGGTCACGAGACGTCCACGAGAAAGGAAACCAGCTCAGAGACAAACCCCCCCCCCCAAGGACCCCACCGTTCAACCCTGAGCTGCAGACACTCCCCGTTGTTTTCATTATCACTCTGCTTCGAGGTCGCCCGGATTTACTAAATTTGCTCAGTAAAACACAACCTCCCTTTTTCTTGTGTGTTTTGAAAATTCGGGGTTTTGCTTCCGCCCGCAAGGAAGTGAAATCTGAAATCTCGAGATTAATTTTAGCCAGGAAGGATCTCAAACCTGTATCGTGATCAGCAGAGCCGGCAGCCGATTCGGACAGTGAGGAGGTTGGGCAGGAAGATGGGCCAGTCCTGGAGTCTGAGGAAGGCTCGGACGAGGGCTCTGCGTCGGAGGCAGAGAGGGGGCCGCCCCGACAGTTACCAGATGCCTTCGGAGTCAGACATCAGTGAGGCAGAAGAACAGCTGGAGCCTGTTCCCAGTGTGCGCATGCGCAGAGTTGACAGACGAAGGGAGCAGCTAAAGAACAGGGGTCGACTTGGGAGAAAGGCCACAGGTGTACGGTGAATGGCCCCTCCCAGAGGAAATAAAAGAGGAAGCAACAGGGAGTGGAGTTTGCAGGAGACAATTAGTTCCCTTCATTGGTTCGTGACTCTCCGAGGCTCCTTGCCAAGTTGTGCAGATCTCGGCCTGGCAGCTCTCCCAGCCGGATGAGGTCTGTGACCGTAAATCCTCCCTCGAAAGACTTTGCTGGATGTGAAGGAGCAGAATTCACAGCAAATTTCATTTTAATTAAATGAAGTTTTTGTCGGGAGTTTGCTTCCTGCTCTTGGGGAAACGTCAGTCAGAACCCTGAGCTTAGTTGTTTCCTTGCGGACGTTTCACGACAGAACTAGGTAACATCATCAGTGCTAGAAGAGAGTTGGTTTTGTGGAAAGGAGGAAGGAGGTGGAGGACGTGAAGGACTGTGAGGTCTTGCTTCCTGCTCTTGGGAAGCCTCGGTCAAAACAACCTGGTGAGACTCCCGAACCCACGGAGGGTCTTCGCGGCTGTATATCGATTCGGGATTCTAACCCGCTGAGATCTTCGACAAAGATGGTGGATCGCCACTAACCGAAGTCGCTGTTTTTTTAATCTTTCTCGTAGCCGCCCCTCAATTCGGGAAACTCCTTCCTATTATTTGACGACGAGGAAGAGGAGGCAGAGGTGGAAGGAGAGGAAACTCTCACCGACGAGGAAGACGAGGAAGACTCCGACCCCGTGGGGTAATTTTCTCCTCCCGGGAGGGTTTGTTGGGCTCCCAAATTGAGTTTGTCCCGCCACAAAATTGGTTTCCTCCCACCAATTTGTTTCGTCCCTCAGAATCAAAACCGTCCTTCCTTTCGCGGGACGGATAGGGACAGGATAAGGACACGAGTGCGAGTTTTGTTACCTTCCTTCCCAGTTTCTGAGCTTGTATAGATCGGCCTCGACTTACAGCGGTTCTTTTAGGGACCGTTCGAAGTTATGATGGCATTGAAAAGAGGGAAATTGGATCATTTTTCACACTTAACAACCGTTGTGGATTCCCCCCCCCCCCCGTGGTCACAGGAACCAAATCCAGACGCTTGCCAACCAACTCGTCTTTATGACGGTTGCAGGGGGTCACGCGATCCCCCTTTTGCGACCGCCAGCGCTTCGCTTAACAACTTCGGCAAGAAAGGTCGTAAAACGGGGACCAAACTCGCGTCCTGCTTCACCGCAGAAATGTCGGGCTCGATTGTGGTCGTTAAAGTTGAGGACTTGCCTGTCCCTGGGGCGCTGTCTCCCTGTCTGGAAAAATAAGTCCTCCGCGTTCCTGTGGACTAGAAACCTCCGTTTGAGTTTGGGGTTTCACCCAATCCCTGCCATTTTTAAGGTGGGTGGGGCTTCAGCTTTTCTTCCGCCCCCTCCCAGGATGTGCGTGCGAAGCGTGTTTATGGACGAAAAGGAAGACGCCTGCATAGCGCTGGGAGAAATGGCCGCCAGCATCAGGTAATTTGCATTTCTGGGTTTTCCTAAATTCTGTGACGTATATTTCTTTATTAGATTTTTATCAAGCCGCATTTATTACTTTATAAATCTGGTGATTTGGCAAAATTCACCCATCTGACTTTCATGCCTAAGGCNCTTTTATTATTTTTACAAACATACCTTGTTTCCCCCCCCCAAAAAAACAGCAACAACCCCCCCCCCTCGTGAGGTGGGTTGGGCTAAGAGGGATTACCCCCACCAAATCACCCAACTACCTTTCACCCCTAAGGCAGGACTAGAACTCCCCATTTCCTGGCTTCTCTGCCTGGTGCTTTAACCGCTAGTCCACCCCATCTCTCAACCCCCCCCTCCCCCTTGTGGTTCGCAGATGGCGTTGCTGCTGCTGCAGTCCGCCCTGGATCTGGACCCCGACCAATTCTCCCCGTACTACAAGGATCTCCTGCGCCTCTTCCATCAGACCCTCAACAACCGGAGTCAGCCGGCCGTCCTCTACTATTCCCTCCGGAGTTTGAGTGCCGTGGTTGGCGGCCTGAGCTCTGACGAAGTGGTGGGTAGGACCCTCCTCTTCCCTCCCGCCTTTCCGCTTTTCCCTCCGCCTGTTATCGAGGCCGAAGCCTTCGAAGGACGTTGCCGGTAGAAAGTAGCTCAAAGGGTCAGGGGAACTCTCCGCCACCGGATCCAGTTTAATCTGCGGTCCTCCCCACGAACTTACCCACCTCCCTCCCAGCTGGATCGGCAGTGGCTGCTGGTCTAAAGATCCACACAATTCCCTTTTTTTTCCGGAAAATAATCTTTTTTTTTTTAAACTGGATCTCCGGCGGATCGATTTTGGCGGATCAATCATATGCTTTAATTTAATCGTATGCCTAGAGGTGGAGCGCTCGCCTCACAATCAGGAAGCTGTGAGTTCGATCCTAGGCAGAGGCAGATATTTTTTTTCTCTCTTTCTCTCTGGGTACATTGAGAATATATCTGCCGAATGTAACTCCGCATTGGTGACAAGAAAGGCATCTGGCCACTCAACAGCCAGCTCCATTCAGTTGCCCGGTTGTTAAAAAACTGCTTAAATTAAATGCTCAACGTGTAAAATGAGGAGCTTAAAATCAAATCCCCTTTGAGCCCTTGGTAAACTCTTGATTTTTTTAATGGTCGCCTCCAGAGCTGGCTGGGGAATTCTGGGAGTTGAAGTCCCCTCCATCTTTAAAATGGCTGTTGAGACTTGGATTTAATTTTTTAAGTGTAATCTATATATACTATCGTTTTCACCCTTTGGATGTCCTCTCTCCTTCAGACGCTCATGTCTTCCATGATGCCCAAAGTGATAGCAGCCATCCGAGAACTCATCCACGTGAACGAGGTGCGGTTTTCTGCGCAGGCGCGCATATAAAATGCTTGCTTTTATCCCGCACACTGGCTAGGGAATTCTGGGAGTTGAAGTCCGCCCATCTTAAAATGGCTGAAAGTTAGGAAACATTGATATTAAGGGAAACTTCCTCCTGGCTTCCCATTAATGGGTCTACAGGTAGTCCTCGACTTACGACCACAATTGATCCCGACATCTCCCTTGCTTAGCCACGCAGTTACGTGAGCTTGGCTCCATTTTACAACCTTCCTTTGCCACGGTTGCTAAGTGAATCGCTGCGATTGTTAAGTGAGTACCATGGTTGTTAAGTGAATCCGGCTCCCCCACCCCTTGACTTCTGCTTCTCAGACGGTTGCAAAAAGGACCCCCAGGACAATGCAGACGTCATAAATGTGAATCCGTTGCCAGGGGCGTCCGAATTTTGATCACGTCATCATTGGGGAATGCCGCGATAGTCGTAAGTGTGAAAAACGGCCCCAAGTCCCTTTTTTTCAGTGCCGTTCTCACTTCGTCACTAAGTGAACTGTCATAAATCGAGGACTACACGTATGTGGGGTTGATCTCTTCTTCTTAATTTCTCTCTGGTTAAAGGGATTTCTTAATTATCTTGGGAATACAGCTGGCCTTCTCCAGCCTGCCCCCATCCCGCCTGTCCCGATGGGTCAGGGGGCTCTGGTTGACCCCAGTAGGGTTAGGGGTCCTGGGGCTCATTGTCCCCTCCAGAGGGCGCCAGTTTGGAGAATGCTGCTGGCCTTTCTGTATTCATCTAATCCAGAAGTGGAGAACGATAGGCCCTTTCAGGCCTTGTGGACTTCCAATTCCCAGAATTCTGGGAGTTGAAGTCATAGTTCCCCATCTTGGCTCAGGAATTCTGGGAGTTGAAGTCCACAAGGCCTGAAAGGGCCATAGTTCCCCATCTTGGCTCAGGAATTCTGGGAGTTGAAGTCCACAAGGGATAAAAGGGCCATAGTTCCCCATCTTGGCTCAGGAATTCTGGGAGTTGAAGTCCACAAGGCCTGAAAGGGCCATAGTTCCCCATCTTGGCTCAGGAATTCTGGGAGTTGAAGTCCACAAGTGATAAAAGGGCCATAGTTCCCCATGCTGGCTCAGGAATTCTGGGAGTTGAAGTCCACAAGTGATAAAAGGGCCATAGTTCCCCATCTTGGCTCAGGAATTCTGGGAGTTGAAGTCCACAAGTGATAAAAGGGCCATAGTTCCCCATCTTGGCTCAGGAATTCTGGGAGTTGAAGTCCACAAGGCCTGAAAGGGCCATAGTTCCCCATCTTGGCTCAGGAATTCTGGGAGTTGAA